ACTTCAGACACACCAGAAAACTCTTCTTTTAGGGTTTTTTCTGTTCCTTCAATTTCTCAGAACTTTGTGGAACATGCTTTCTGTCAGGTGATATGATAGCATAGGGGTCACGGAAGCATGGTTTCTATGCTTAGAGCGCTCGTCACTAACGGGCACCCTGCACATGCGGCAGACCAATTTCCAGCCAGCAGAGCAGGGTCCCATTTCGCCTGTGGACCCGGCTGAGAAGTGGACAGGGTTTGAGGAGAGACTCAAACAGCTCAAACAAAAAGATGAGCACATCGCAGCCTACAGGAACAATGCAGACCAAGACATAGTGGTGTCTCTTCCTGGAAGTACTAGAAATCTGGTGTCTTATTTTTAAAACAAATAAACACTAAAGTAGCAAGTATTACACAGATTCATGCCTACATGCCTGCCTGTCTCTACTGTCCTATAATTTCCATTTCCTCCTTCTCGCCCTCACTTTCGGTGCCCGTTCATTCTCTCTTACCCAACTCCAGACTGGAAATGAAATAAGAGGTGTTTGTTCTTTGGTGGCCCCTCCCCCCACACAAGACACTGACTGTGACACTTGCAAGGCCTTGAACAATGTTCCTTCGCCTGCTTCACCAGCTGCATTCAGGACTTCTCTCCCTCTTGCTCTTAACTGCCCAGGGACTATGCACTTCTCTCTGTCTTTCCAAGCGGTATGGCTCCTTTCTACTGCAGGGCCTTTACACATTCTGTTCTTTTGTTTCTCTAACTTTTCACATAGCTAGTTCTTCTTGTCTCTGATTCCAGTTTGAAAATCACTTTCTCAGGGCTGCCTAAGGTCCCCTAACACATATTTTCACAGTGCCCTAAACCATTCATAGTACTTATCACAACTGTAATTATCCGTATTTGTTTAAAATCTGACTTCCCTGCTAGAATGCAAGACCTATTCGGGAAGAAACTGTGCTTATCTTATTTTTTACTGTATGTTCAGAGCCTAACATACTGCCCCTAACAGAGTAGTGCTTTGTTAATACTTGTTATATGGATGGATGGATGGATGTGTGGGTGCACAGAGATCATTCTCCCTTCCCTTTTCCACCCTGGCACCTCATTAGGTCTTGCTGTCAGGTAGTTCTCCAAAAAGCTCAATCTGGAAGCTAATCAAATATAAAAGACAATGCTCTTTGAAAGAGAAAGACTGTTTTGCTCTCATGAGCACACCTCCCTTGTCTCCTCCTTTCCTCAAACCATAAGAGAGAGGCCCCCTTATCTTGTTCAGTTGAGGGGTAGGCAGGACCACATGGGAGCCATGGAGCTGAGCACCCGGTGAGTACACCTTCTCCCTGGGCCAACATCACCTGTGAAGGGCTCAGATGCACAGGTGGTTTTAAGTGAGAGAAGGATGCTCTCTGATGGGCAGGGATGGGCTCTCTCCTGTCCTGTACCCCCTTAGTTCACACTTTCATCCCCTCGGGTCTCGGTGACAGCAGAGCCTCCCTGCCGCCATTCTAGCCTCTAATTTCTCCCCGCTTCAGGCACTCTGCCACTGCTTTCCCACAAACACCCGTGCTGGGGAACCTGCCGTGCCTCTACTTCCTTCACAGCCCAGTCCGAAGCCCTGCCCGGCCAGACCTGTCCCCCACCGCACCGCAGGGCCGCCTCCTCACGTCCAACACGCATCTTAGCTATTCCCACCTCTGTGTTTCCCTAATCCCACCTCACCTACCACATAAATCTGGTCCTAGATCACCCGTAAGGCCAAGGCTGACTTCCACGAGCCTTCCATGTTCCACTCCTGATGCTTCCAACCCACAGTTTCCTGCTAGGGCCCCGTCTCTGGTGACAATGTGGGTTAACAGTACCTGATTTCATTATTGATTCATCTCCACTTGCTTTCCGTGTTTTGCCTCCACTACTGGGCACATAGTTGATGTTGAATAAATATTCAGTTGATTATTGATTGGGGAAATCATAGCAATAAAGCCATTAAAAGAACCCGAACCAGGAAAAACGCACACACATGTGTAAATGTGCGCATGCATGCGTCTAGGCTCAAGTGCACATGTGTGTCTCTATGTACAAGTGCGCATGTGTGGTCATACTAAAAGCTCTCTTCCAGCTCCCTGGGGCATGTTCTAGAACGCCTGCCCAGTTCTCTAAACACCCATGCTACTACTCCAACGATGGACGCTCTGTCCCTACTCCGGCCCCTGACGTCCAGCATATGGCCTCGTTAGTACCTGTGAGGGCATCTGCCTTTGGAACTCAGCAGAAAGAGGTAACATTTTCTCCCATGGCACCCAACATGGAACTTATTCTGTTTCCACAGCTGAGAAGTCATCCCTGGCTCAGCGACTCAACCAAGGCCAACAGCGTATAGGTGGATGGAAGGAAAGGGGGAGGGGCGGGAGAGGGTTCCAGTGGGCTGGTGCTGACCGACAGTTCATTGTCCAGTTCAAACTTGTATTAGGGCACATTACAGAGAAGAATCTTGGCTGATTTATGGACGTGGACAGCAGTTCTATGAATGTAGAATCTGGGTCTGGTTTTGTGTCCCCACTACCTTGATAAATATTTAAGGAACGAGTGCGTGTACGTGTGTGTGCTGGCGGCATTCAGCTCCCTATGGAAATAAACTTTCTGACATACCTTTTGCCTGTGGGCACCACTTGACTGTCTCAGGCCGTGATAAACTCCCCAGTTCCAGTGTTCAAACAGGAAGAGGACAGCGGCTAGTCGGGGATGCTGTACCAGGGAATCTAAGCACTGGCAACACAGGCTGAAATTCAAGAAAGAAAAACATAAAGAACCTAGGAGAGCTGTAGACAAAGCGTTTGGGGAACACCACAGAGGAAAGAGTGACTAGTAATAAAGAAGTCGGGAAATCATGAAGGTTTCATGGATGAGATAGTATTTGATGAGGATTTTTCCAATCTGTAGCATTTCCATAGGCAGAGAATGAAAAAACGGCATTCTGTATTGGTAGACCAGCACAAGCAAAGGTCAGGAGCTCTGAGAAAAGTGGCGTGTTAGAAATCCTTGTCTCAGATGGTATGGCTGGAGTGTCAGCTCCCATGGAGTCCCAATGGAGGGACTCAGGGGAGAGGGGATAGTTTTGTGCCAGGTGCTGGAATGCTTCCAGTGATGGGCTAAGGTGTTTGGCCTTTATTCTGTAAGTAACAGATCCTTTTTTGAGGTGGGAGCAATCAATATGTTTTATTGAGATCATTCTAACAAGAACTAAAGCTGGATTGGAGAAAAAAAAAAACAGTAATATTGACTGCCTACCAGATACTAGTCGCTGTTCTAAACAACTAGCATTCTGTCTCATTCCTCCCTTTTAGTTATGACATATGTTCAGGAATTATCCTATTTCACAGATAGGAAAATGAGGCGCAGAGACATTAAGTCACTTGTCCAAGGCCACAGCTCCAGTCATCCAGGAGTCTAACCTAGAAAACTTCTCCAGAGCCACTTTTAGCTATCCCAATGGACCACCTCCCCTGGGGACCAATTAGAGCCTAGTCATCACAATAGTACCAGAGAGAGGAGGAGGAGGGCCTGAATTAAAATTGTAGAGATGAAAATATAAAAGAGGCAGCATTTACTTACTGCCTTTTGTGTAAAAAAAGGATGGCAGGGAATATCTATATATATCTATCGATAGCTATCTGTATCTGTGTATCTGTATCTATTCTTCCCCTCGCTTCCATGTAAACTACTAGAGGGTTACACAAGAAACTAATAAGAATGGCCACCTATAGGGGCAGGGCAGGGAGGGTAAGGGGTGGATGGGAAGTGGAGTGGGGTGAGACACCTCAGTGTATGTCTTTCAATATAGTTCTGATTTCTGGCCCATGTGAACATGCTATTTATTCAAAAAACACAAATGATTTTTTAAAAATTGAAAAGGCACAATTTAAAAGCCAATTCAAAGAAACAACTGAAAGTGCACAACAGCTGATTGGATTTGGAAGGCAGTGAAAGAGACAACACAGTTAAAGAAAGTGCCTGGTTCTCTAACTTGAGTGTTTGGGAAGATGGTAGCTCGGCAGCCTAGCTGAGAAAACAGGAGAAGAGTGGTTTGAAGGAAGCTATTACATGTTCAGGATTATTTGTGGATGGAAGCAGACATTTGGATGTTAAGGTTAAGGTCAACAACCCAGATGGGAGTTTGATTTGGGGCATTCACATGATGACAGTAACAGACCCTGTGTGTGGATGTTGAGATTAAGGAAAGAGTAACAAAAGTGAAAGCAAGGGGACATAAAACAGAAGTTCAAGGAACCTATACCGAAGGAACAGCCAAGAGGAGGCTGAGATGATCAAGGGTGGGATAGAGAGGTGAGTACAGGGGAGCAGAGTCAGCAAGAGCTTCCAGAAGAAGGGGAGTGATCTCCTAAGGTCTAATGGGTTAGGACTGACAAGAGGATGGTAAATTTTGGGATCAGGATGCTATGCTTCTAGACACAGGGGAGAGGAGACATATTAGAGATGTAGGGAGGAACCACCCAACAGAGAGTCCCCCTGCTTCTCTTCCCATTGTATAAGAGACAACTGGACACAGAAGGGTCTTCAATCCCTTCATTTCAACCAATGTAGATAGCCTCTTGCCCCAGAAGGTGTTTTTACACAATACACTCCAACAACTGAGTGGTTAAAAGAGAAACTGAGGCAGGGAGTCCTAGAAAGCTTCTCTGATTTTCTGTTATCACCCCATTCAGGCCAATGGAATCTTGTAATATGAGACTTTATTTTTGTTTTTTATTCTTCCTCCCTCTCTTTTCCATTACACACATCAGTGCAAACACAATCACACACACACACACACACACACATACACACGGCATAAAAGGGACCTTTGCAAAAGCAGTTTTCTGGACCAGACTTAATGCTGCTTGGAGGGAGGGAAAGCAAAGCAGAGGAAAAGGCAGGAGATGCAATTCCTCCCCTTTAAGACTGCCTGGTTACGGTCCTGGGAAAGAAAACCCCTGCATTCCTCCCCTTTAATTCGGTTTATTGTTAAGGCACTGGAGCAGCTAGTCCTCACAGACCTGTGGGAGCTGGAGTAGGAGCACCAGGAGCACCATCCCTTCTGAGTGTCCGGGTAAGATGAGTCTCCTTCTTTTCTTGCTTTGGGGAGGTTTCCTGGCTCAGTGGGAGGCACGCGGCACCTAGAGACGTGTGTGAAGAAACACTTTTGCAAGGAACTTGGGTATTTTGTTCATTTCAACCCCATTTCCAGTCTTGCCTGACTCTTGTGGTATCAAGGGTAAGTTGTAGCCGCCTTGGAAAATAAGTCTGAATGGGGGCCCGGTGGCACCTCTACCTAAGAGCCATCTGCCGTCACTTCAAGGCTGGCGTGAGTGGGGACCGTTTGCACTTCTGAGCAGGGAGAGGGGAGCGAAATACCGGTAGCTGTCCCTCCTGCGATGCCTGCCTGAAGGCTGAATTCTAGGGGGCAATCCTCAGGACTCCGAGGCTGGGAGGGGCTGTCCATCTCCAGAGCGGCAGGACCTCCCTCGTGCCTGCACCCCTAACTCCCTCTCATCCTTCATCTCTTAACCTCTCTGACCCATTCTGGCAAGGATCAATGCCCTTCTGCCTACCTGTCTGGGTTATTGGGAGGATTAAGAGAGCCAGTGGGCAAAAAGGGCAGTTTGTAAACAGCCTGTGGCTCTGTAACCCCCAGGAGAACGGACCAGTCTCGGTCCCTCCCGGCAAGGGTCCCTGGACAGGCTCCAGCTCCAGGGCCCCGCCTGGGCTGCGTGAGGATGCAGGACTCTTGCCGTCAGTCACAAGACCGCTCCTTCACCTTCCCCGGGCGCGTCCAGCTCCCTCCTGTCTTTAAACTTCCCCAGTTCTGCTGGCCGGTAAAGATGGCAAAGGAGGTCTGGATTCTGCACCACCCCCATCAGCGCTGTGGCCCCTTCTCTCCACGTAACTTTGACGCACAAGCATTAACCCCGAGGCTCCCAGAGGCAGCTGCCAGGGCTTGCGATGGTCTGGCAGTAGTGCACGGCTGGCCAGCTGCTCGCTCTGGAGCCGGATAAATTGATCATGAGGAAAGTCTCTGAGAAGGGTCAAAGAGTCAGGCAGGTTTCTCCTGGGGAAAGAGATGATCTTTCCCAGAGCAGAAGCCGGAAACAGCCCCGCTCCTGGTAGTCCTTTTGACCCAGGCTTAACCAGGGCCGAAGATGAGATCCAATAGGTCCATAACACAAAGTGCTTAGTAATACCTGATATGGGGACCGCAGTTACAGTTTTTAATGTGCCTTCAACTGGTTAAAGTATTTCTCCCCTCGTATAGATGAGACCACAGTTACTCAAAGAGTCTCCCCGAGGGTTGCAGACCTGGATATGCTGGTCTCTATGAGCATTTGAACGGTTGCAGACCTGGATATGCTGGTCTCTATGAGCATTTGAACGGTTGCAGACCTGGATATGCTGGTCTCTATGAGCATTTGAACCCAGACTTCTGACATCTGGCATCATCAGTGATGACACTACAGAGAGCTAGAGGGTGTCGGGAGGGATGAGTTGGATGCGGGTGTGTAGGAACAGCTCTGTGGAGAAAATCAGGGCAAAACTTTGGGAAAGAAGCCTGAGGTCGGAGCCAGGAGAAGCAGTGGTTGGCCGGGTCTCAGGGCCTTTCTCTGAGCATCCAAGTCACGTGTTCCAGGGGGACTCGGGCAGGTGCTGGGGTTGCAGGAAAGCCTCCTAAAGATGAAGCAAGGTAAGTGAAATCAAATAATCACCTCCAGGAAGGAGGCAACAGGTTTTGTGGTAGCGCTGGTAGACTGGGGTTTCCCAGTCCGGCTCTGCGATTAACTCCCTGATTTGGGGCATTTTTCTTACTGCTTCTGCCCATCAGTACCGCAGCCATGAAACGGTCCCCTGAAGGCGGCAGTCAGGCACGAGGGAGGATGATGCAGGTGAAGCGCCCGCAGGATGCCCTGCCCAGCGCTCAGCCCGAACCGCTCTCCCCCCACCCCCCAGCAAGGCCTGGGAGCCCTGGGGCCCTGAGAGGAGAGATCCCCGCGGGCAGCGGAGAGCGGTGCCCCGGCACCCTCTCCTCGCTCACAAGCGCGCGCACGGCCAGAATTAACTGCCCCGCACAGCGCGTGCTGTGCGGGACCGCCCGGTGAATGAGCTGCGGCATGAATGAGACGGGAGCGGCAGCGCGCGCCACTACAACCTCGGGCGCGTCCCCCTGGTCACCGCCTGCGGGGCTGGGGCCGGGTGCCGCTGTCCACGCGGGTCAGGCCAGCGTCCGGGGAGGCAGGGCTGGTTACGCAGGGCTTCGTGCGCGCTGCCCGCCTTCTGCGCCCCTGCCCGGATGAGCGTGCCTGGCGGGGCCCTCCAGTCAGGAGCCCTGCATCTGCACAAAGGAGGCACCTCTTGCAGGGTCTGGCTTAAGGGCAGCCTGTGGCAGGCACACAGTCAACAGTTTTACCCTTGAAAACTCCTTAGAAGGGTGCCCCAGGGAGACCAGCATGACGCCGATGAAGAAATGCTGGCAGGCGGTGTTTCCCAGGCTGGCGGCGGTGGAGCTCGCTCTCTTGGTTCAGTACCAGATGAAGTAGTTGGTTTGCATTTCAAGACCGTGATGCATGAAAAAGTAGATATTTTTAAACATTTTAAAATCACAGTGAGATGCGATGCCCACACTGTGAGGCGTACTTGGGAGCTGTGACCGGTTAGGGAGCAGTGGTTTCACGTCCCCTGTTGCGTGTTGAGGTCTATTTAAAGTCTTATTTGTTTCCCTCTCTTTCTCCCCAGCACATGGGGTTTAATTCGTGTGCCTGTGATGTGGATGCACTACATAGCATCATAGCAGTTGATTCTGTGCCCCCTGATGCCCCAGGAATGTGGGGGGGGGGTGGGAATAGAGCAGGGATCCCATTCAGCAAAGGAGGAAACTGAGGTCCCCTGGGGTTAGGAGCACAGCAGGAATCAGCAGCACACCCTGCTCTCTCCAGGGACTCCTGTGTGTTGACCTCCCTGCCACTAAATGAAGCCCTAGAGGATGTTCATTTCTTTTATAACAGGCACACAATAAATCTTAAGCAACATGTGAATTCTGGCTTGTCACTGTAGCAGGAGGGATTTGCTTAAACTTAAATGTGGGTTTGAACCTGAAATAAACTGCAGGAGTCCATTGTAAAACCTCCTTCCTCAGTGATTTTGTGAACTGAAACGGGCATGCAGTGCTGGCCTTTGAGACACAGGCCTGGTGGGGGTGCTGGAGTTGGAGGCCCTATTCTGGGGAGGTTCTGTCCATCCAGAAGTCTCCAGGAGGCTTTAAGATCCAAGGCCTCGGCTTGAGCTACAGCTGGTGAGATGGGAATGGGTTGTAACGGCTCACACAGGCCCAGCTACGTGCCTCTGACACCATGAGGAGAGCAGTGCTGTGACGGAGGGCAGCACACTGCTGGAAATTTCATGGGTTGCTCAAACCCATGGAGAATCACTAAGTATCAGTGATGGCCAGTCTCTCTGTTTTCCACAGTAGGCTCTGGGCTACCCTAGATCCCCTGGATGCTGGTGGGTGTTACCCAAGGAAAGAGCTCCACAGTCCAGTAAGTTGGGGGGATGCCAGGTTAAACAGCACTAACCAAGTGTCTTTAAGAGTTGTCGTGGGCCATGAATCTCTAAGAAGGAGTAGCAAATCCGCTTTGCACACGGACAGTCTTCTGGGACTAAGATTTTGAAAAACAAACTTCAAGGAACCTTAATCTATTCCAATCTCCTCTTTTCACTAAGGAGAAATGTGGCAGACCAGAGATGGACAGTGATCTGCCTGGGGCTGCACAGCTCCTCAGTACCAAGTCAAAACCGGGACAAGAACTTGAGCTCTTTCTAATGTCCCTGTCAATCCAAAGGATGACACCAAGTCCAATATAGGCCGGAGTCCAGGAAACTGGAGCTCAGGGCAAGAAAACATCCCAGCATTAGCCTTTTACCCCCTTATAACCAAGTGATTTATATATTGCCGTGACTCCGTGCGCTCCAGCCTGGAGGCACAGAGCACATTCTTATGAAAGAAGATCCAACTGATAACCTCCCTCCCAAGACCCACAAGCCTCTCTGAGTCATGCTCCCAAGAAATGGAGAAGCCTGGAAGCAGACCACAAAGCAGTCTTAGGGTGGGCTGATTCTACTAAGATCAGTCAGAGAGCCAGACATGGTCCCTCAAGAAGGCTCGGAGGCCTGATTACCATGCCCTGAGTGATTTATACCTGCTTGCCCAGAAGCCCCAAGGGACGGCATAAACCAAGGCACAGTGGCTCTTCCCATAGGTAGAATTGAGAGCCATTATCTGTGGGCTGAAAGTGCTCCTCCAAGTTTTCCCCTTCTCTCCATCTCCTCTGGGTTGTTCCTGTCCAGTTTAGGAACCTGCTGCGGATTTGGGAAACACACATTGAATGGAATGGAATGGAATGGAATGGAATGGAATGGAATGGAATGGAACAGAATTCCTGGATTAAAACATGGTGCACCCAAGGCTCTCAGATATATTATCAGGAAGGGTGACTTTGAAGCTGCTAGTCCAGCTGATTCTTCTAATTAGCACTTCAGAGCAGCTGGGACTCCACAAAGGAAACTTTCGGTGAAGAGGCCGTGTGGAGCATGGTGGGCAGGAGTGAGGGGCCGGAATGAGGCTCCAGGGCAGTGTGGGGTCCCGAGGTGACCTGGCATGTTTGGGGCATGGTGATGACAGTGAGGAGGACACTGAAGGTAGGCGTCATCTGCCTGAGAGTTCTGTGTGTTACTAGTGCTGTTCCTGTAACCAAATGGAGCCCGGCAAGGAGAGAAGGACAGGGATCCGCCATGGAAGAAGCATGAGAAGGGCACCTGCCTCCTGGGCTCGGGGCCTAAGCATCTGTCAGCAACACCTCATAAACAGCCAGACTGGATGCCACCGCACACCACACAGCCTGTCCCCAGAAGCACAGAGAGGGTGGCGCTCAGAGACTGTGTCCCCCTCAGGGCTACCTGGCCTGCCCTTTAGGAATAACTTTCCCTCCACAGTCTCCTCCCCAGCTGTGGAACTGTCCCCCAACAGAGCAGGAAGACCACCCCGAAAACTATGACTGAGCACCG